TATTACTTATTATTATATACCAAGGACTCCCCTTATAGCGTAATGATAAATTTTAATTTTAATAAAATTTAAATAACCAGCGGTGGACTTTTACAAAATACATTTTATACAAAGATTTACCTGTTCTTAACTTCGCGACTTATATTTGTTTATTACATTCTAGAGCCCCCCCCCCCCCCTCCGGCAACACCTGGATTGGTAATCAATTAATTTGGTTTATTCGGAGAATATATATTTTATCTTCTAGTATTATTGATCAAATAAAGTCTTGATCTTTCCTGGCATTGGTCTCTATCCGTTCTTTTTTTGAAAATGGTGCTTCGTGTATTAATAGCATGCAAATAATACCTGAGTCCAAAAGAAGTCAGTAATTTCAATATCAAAGATACCTTAATTTAATTTATATGTATAGATTTATAGCAATAATATGATAACGTATTAATTTTAAGACATACTTATATACTATTGTACAAAACATATGATGAAAAGCGGGGAAATAAAACGTTTTTAGTTCCACTTCATTAGTCGACATCACAATTAGAACACCTTAGGGACCCTTCACGTTCTTTATGATACCATTCAAAGAGCCCCCACACTCCTTGTGTTGGTGTGTAATTAGGGCAAAAATTTTCCAGTTACCTTTAGTGTATTTTGCTTACTATTGTGATCAAGGTCCTAATGATTCCAAAGTTACAATATTTTCCCTGAACCTGTAGTAGTACACCAGTGTAGGTGTGTGTTTTATTAATTATGTTTCATTAACGTAACAGCGCACAAAAATAATACGTATTAGATGTTTTATTAAAGTTACTAAACAGAGTATGTCTGTGTACACTTAATGCAAAGGTATTGTCTGTTTTGTGTAAAGTGATATATTATTTTTAGTTAAGTTGGTTATGTTAACTATTGTTGCTTTAAAAATTTGAATGTTTTATTGTCTTTAAAACCTAAAAACGACCATTTTGTTTAATAAATTTTCTTCTGTTGTTTCACATATCTATTTTCACTTCAACACCATGATGAGACTCAGCACTGAAAGGCCGCGAGCTTTAAAAAATTGGGGACTGATGACGATGATGTTGATAATAACTTGTGATGATGATGTGAATTATAATGCTAAGTATACCGATTACGTAAATTTTTCGTTACAGTGTTCACTTTTACGCAAATCAGTGTACAGATGAGTTACGTAACCGCGTTCGAGAAACGGTGACGGGCCCCGGCTCTGACGGTTTCACGTGGTTTTTTAATTTTATTTTATAGAATAAATTTGACAAATGAGCACACAGTCCACCTGATGTTGTGTGATGAGTGTACACTATGGCCCACCTAAACACATCTAAATTTAACTTCAATTCAGAATCAAAATGCAGATGCGTTGTCACCCCTGAGGATCTCCAGTTCACTCACACTCACCTTACGAAAAAAGCACCATTAATCTGCTACTTTCCTTCTTGTTCGATGTTCCAGGCGGTGAGAATTCCCAGGACAAGCGGGTGTACGGGGTGTACGCGGTGTGGAGAGGCGTATGGCACACCCGTCTGCAGGCGCGGCGCTCCCATCCGTTTATACTGTGCATTCACAATATCCGCAACAATGTCCAAAAGGGTCAAGAATTTCTACGTTGTCCTGCTTCAAATACTTAAACGTTTGACAAGCTCTGCATGAGCTTGCATTGTCATGGTGTAGGATGATGCATCGCTTTGGGTTAGATTTTCGAAGTTCGGCGATGACTTGTGGTAAATAAACTAAGGTACACCACTCTGCATTAGCCGTTCTACGATTTTCAAGTTCCATTGTCGCAACATGGCTGGTTTTCGCAATCAACGTGGCCACCATTTTCTTAGAAGTGCTTCAAGAGTTAAACTTGTGAAGAGTTTTCTTACAACATCTGACGCGGGTCGCGCCTTATGATCGTCGCAAAGCAAATACGGGATCCAACGGCAAATCAGCTTTTTCACACCAAGTGCTTAATACAAGATCTTCTGAATGGTTGTTCCTGAGATGCCCAATAACGCCACTATCTCTCGATACATCAAATGACGATCTTCGAGGATTCATTTTCTCACAATGACGATGTTATCTTCAGTGGAGGCGGATTTTTGAAGTCCTTCTCGAGATTTGTCACTAATATTGGTATATCCACGCTGAAATTCTAAATACAAGTTGTTCACAGTCCTCTGAGGTGGGACTTCATCATGAAACACAAAAGTTAGATCTTTAAAATACTGAAGCTGTGATATGTGTTTATACAAATTTTGAAAAGGTCTAACCTTTTCAAACTTTGTATAAAATTGATGCACTAGTAGGATTAATTTTAATACGTGACCTGACAGATTCAAAACGACTCTGTGACCTAAACAATAGCATTAATCCTAATATTTTCAACTGTATTGAGATACTGACTTCTGACTTTTGACTGAACAGTTCAAAATTCAAAATTGCTAGTAAATATGTAAACAACATAACTTAAAAGGCACGCTAGTATTGTTGTAGTCACGGTCAGCACCGTCGCCCTTTAATAGCTAAAATCCCTCGAAGGAGCGTATTACGAAAGTAAAATAGAAATATAAGGAAATAAAAATGAGCTTTTTTATATACTATGATATAAAATGTTTATAACATAAAATGTTCAATCATCATCATCATCATCATCATCATTACAGCCCTTCACAAGTCCACTGCTGAACATAGGCCTCCCCCAAGTAATGTTCAATAACGAAGTATAATTAACAGTTCATATTTTTTGCCCTAAGGGCTACAAAGAAAGAAAGTTATTAAAGAAAGCACACACAGGGAAAGGCTTTCGCCATTGGGTATTAAATCAAAAGATAAATAGGACTTAGCTTTATAATACATTTTCATTTCGAATTTCCTTCAGAAAACGTTCTAAAAGTTACTATTAAGTGGAAACAAAGCATATTCCTTTGTTATATTTGGAGACGCACACCGAGGTTATTTGTTTTGAGAAAACGAGATCTTACCTTATGAAAATAACTCTATGAATTTATGGTAGACTAAGTTTCGGTAATAAATTGTTTCTAAAACCAACGGAAATCGTTTAAGCCTTCCATTATGGTATTTAGTGATGAAAATAATAAATCTGAAATAACTATGTGTTTTTTAAAATGCGAAATTTAACAAAATACGAATATTTAATAAAATGCAAATATATTTTTTCAGTTCAACTTTTTGCAGTTTCAATAACATATAACTTCAAAATTTAAATTAAAGGAGCGTTTAGTTCAGTTTCATAAATTTATTTCTTGAGAGAACTAAGAGAGTTTCAAAAGCAATTAAAATTTGATAAGTTTTTTCCACTTTATTGTCTTAGTGTTTAAATAATACATATTTATTTAAAATAACTTGGAGATTAAAAAAATAAAACTATGTAACTCTCATAGGTATTTTAATCAATTTTTAAATGGTTAAAATGCTACATTGATTTCAGTATTTTAAAAAAGTCTAATTCGTTAGGTTAAGTATATTTTTATTTCTCTTGATTTTTTTACTTACCAGTTAATACAATCCCTCCTTGTGGTAAGTGATGATGAAGTCTTAGATTGTAAATGGCACTGTTTTAGCGTAACAACGCCTATATCGTATTTCAATCCGACGGAAAACGGACGCCGGACGGTTATTCTACACCTTTGCTGTACGTATTACGGAAGACAAAGCAAATCAGTTAGGAAACATTGAATATCGACGACAAAGGAGTGTAGATCTGCCGGTTGTCCGATTTTGGAAAGGGGAGGAAGGAATTAAGGCAGATAATTCCTGCACACACTCCGAAATGCATCCTATAGAATACCGTGATTACTACATATGTAGTATACTCCTAACAAAAAAGTATTCATACCGTCTAAAGAAGAATTAATTAATCTACCACTTTGCGTTAAGTAACTCACAAAAACAAAGGTAAAAGATTTTCTTTTCTTTTTACTAACGATAACTTTCATAATAAAATATATTGCCATGAACTAAATTCTTTTAAGTTTATGAGATTTTGGTATATGATGGTATACTTAAAACGTACCGATAGTTTTTGTATCTTATATTTATACAAAAAAAGATATAATTTTTGTTTAATAAAAAATATAAAGACGTTTGATTTACAATTTAGGCGTCTTTAAGGCAAGAGTGGATTGGCTTTTGTCACGCTAAGCCAGAGCGATTTACAGTCATGGACTTCATGACCGCTTACTTTCTGGTGGGATTGAAGACAAGTGCTTATAATAGCGTTAATAAATAAAAAATACTAAGAATTTCTTTTGCAACCCGGAGGAGATTCACATTGATTTAAACGTGCAGAACGAGATTCAAACAGCCCAGGCGCAGCCAGGTGCAGCCCAAGGCGCTGGAGCCAAATACTTACAAACTGAGCAGTCAAATAAGAATTAAATATATATTAAATTAAATAAATAATAAAAAAATAAATTTAAAAGAATTAAATAAATATTATAATAAGCGCTGAATGTGTGAAAATAAAGGAAATTTTAAAAATTTTCTTACATTTTTTCAGAACAAAAATGAGAAAATGCCTTTAAAATTCTCTTTGTGTCTAACAATGTACTTTGTTATTTCACCAAGGGGAATTCAACATATTTGAAACGTTTTTGTTTATTTCACTGAAGAATTGAGGGGTATAGTTTCAAAAACCGCATAGTCCATTTTTTTCAAGTAGCAACATTTTTATACGTCTAGTAACTCCATATTTTATAATACAGGTTAGTGTTTAGTTGGCCGATCAAAAGTAACTTTGTCCAATAGAAATTAAAGGTCAAAATATAATGGTTGAATCAAAATCAGCAAAGTCCTAACCCAGTTATTTCAAAATCAGCATTGTCAATTCGGCCAATCAGATGCCACCGTGATATGTCAAAACAGTATGGCGTGAGCCGGTGTAAGAGTCGATTTGGTGAAGGTGCATATTAAATAAAAGTAAATAATTTAAATAGTAAACGTGTAAATTTTATAGTCAAAGTGCATAAATTCCAACAATGGATAAATCACCAATAGTTGTCCAACAAATTAGAGCAAGAAAAAGACTTAGTGATAAAAATAAATGGAAAAGAAATGTGGCGAAATTAGAGCGGTAAGTTAAGTGGTATTTACTGATTTTGATCCTTACAACTTATGTACCTACTTATGTTTTGTTGATGTCGGTAAAATACAGATTCTATTTGTAAGCGCTTTTACGTGATCTTTTAATAATAGCAATTATAATAAATTAGTTTATATTACATGTGTATAGATATTTATATTGAATATGTAGGTACTATGAATACTACAAAGACAAGCTTACGGGCGTACTTTTAACGAGATCGTCAGTGATCTTCTCTTGTAAAACGTAATACATTAAAGTATACTCAAGTTTCTCATCTGTGTGTAATTTAATAATATATGTATAATGAGGTTAATAATGTTTGTTACGATATTTTTTTATAGTTTGATGTTTTTTTTCAGATACTCTGCAAAGAGCTTTACCAGATCGTCCAAATTGTATTCACAAAAAGACATATGAATGTAATTCATTGACAATGAGTGATTTGATCGATTTTCATACATGTTTTTACAAACATAGGGATAAACGTTCGCAAGATGCATTTATTCTTAAACACATGACAATATCAAAAGTGGCAAGGTATCGGCCTAGAAAATCCAAATACGTGGGGAGGAATTCCAGTAATAAATATTACATACGTTGTAAGTCAATTAAAAAGAAAAAAAGAGTATGTCAGAACACATTTCTTGCTATACTGGGTATTAAAAGATACCGTGTGGAAGCAATTGCTAAAATATTTCATAGTGAAGGTGTCTTATTAGAGGAGCGTCGTGGGGGAGACCATAAGTCTCATTTATACTCAGCGAGACAGAAAGCAGTAATAGAATTTATTAAATAATTGAATTTCTCTAAGCCACATTACTGTCGTGGCAGTAGTGACAGATGTTACTTACCCGCCGAACTAAGTATTAACAAATTATTCAAAATATATAACAATAGCCAGGCAGACAGTTTTTTGAAGGTAAAAAAGAAGCTATTTTAGAAACATATTTAATACAAAATTTAACTTAGGATTCGGCTCACCTCAAACGGACGTATGCTCTGTATGTTTACAATATAAAGAAAAAAATCAAAACAAGTGTTGACGAGAAAGTGAAAACAGATCTAATGATTCAAAAAAGAATTCATACAAAAAGGGCCAAAGCTTTTTATAATTACTTAAAGGATCAAGCACCAAACGTTTCGATTATATCTTTTGATTGTCAAAAAAATATGCCGCTCCCAAAAATTCTAGATCAAAGCACATATTATTCGCGACAATTTCACGTTTATAACTTCACTATTGTTACTGGGCCATCAAACACAAAATTAAATGAAAATAATACTTTTAGTTACATCTGGACGAAGATACTTACGCCAAAGATTCTAACTTAATAGCTTCTGCAGTATTTCACCGATTAAACAATACATCATTTTCACAACAAATAGATACAATCAGATTAATGGCCGATGGGTGTGCTGGTCAAAATAAAAATTTCGCTGTAATTGGAATGTGTCAGAAATGGATGACCACAGCACCCATACATATTAAGAAAATGGAAATAATCTTTCCTATAGTGGGACACTCATTTCTGCCTCCCGACCGCGTTTTTGGCAGAACAGAAAAAAGAATTTCGAAAACGAGACACAATTCCAATATTGTGTCTCGTTTTCGAAACCTTGTGAGTATATAAATATAATAAAAGAAAATGCTACTATAATTGAAGTCGGAAAAGATTGTCTCGTCCAAGATTGGAAGGAAGCTGTTAAGAAGATCATAAAAACACCCGGTCAGTGGCATCATCCCTTTTATGAAATGCAAACGATTCATTATAAAGCGATCTAAGTTGTCTTTTGAAAATACAGTAATTTAAGGGCGAAATAAATTATATGATTGACACGGGAGTTTTCAGAAGTGTTTGTAAAAAAAATAAAAGAACATCCGAAATTGATGCTCAAAATGTGCAAACTATGGGAATCATAAAATCAGCAAAAGTCAAAGATGTCAATAAACTATTAACAACTCTAACATCTAAATTAACATCTCATTTTGGTGATTCCTGGAGAACATTTCCAATTTTATGCTTTTATGACAAATTAATACCACAAAATGTAGAAGCAGATGTTGATCAACAAGAAGATGAAGAAAATATCTGCGAAGAAAATGTTGACCTACCTGATGTTCGAATTTAATTTTTTTTAAATAAAGCTATAATTAATTGTCTTCATATTATTTTTGGTCATACATTCCGTATCAACTTCATATAATATTTATATGATATTTCACTAATAAGAATATATTTTCTAGGTGCACTTTATGCACAATCTTATCGTTGGCATGCATTTTTCACAACGTATCAATTTGTGTAGTCGTACTATAGCCTAAAAGTAGCATTATCAAAGTCAGCAATGTCCATTGACATTTGTTTCAAAAATAGCAAAGTCCATTATGTTTTCGTATTTTTTCAGTTTTAGAGCTACTGTTGTGCTTATTTAACAATAACTGAGAGTGGATCATTCATTATTCGATTCATAATATGCTAAAATTAAACTCGTAATGTTAAGTTTTAGGGGGAAAAAGGTTAAATCAATATTTTACTAATTCGTCAACATCGGACTTTGTTGTTTTTAAAACTATACCCCTCATTCAGAATAATAATCTTTGGAAATAGCCTACCCACTGTTGGCAACACGAGATAAACATCTTATGAAATCATTCATTTTTTCTTATGATAAATGTCGAATTTACGATAATTTTGTAAAATGATAATTTCAGAGAAATATAAAGATATTTGTATAAACTAAGAGCCATTTATTACAAGCGAATGAAGTATTAAAAATATTTTCATTAATTTTTGCTTAATACATAGACATAATATCAGTAATAGATAAGATATATACTATATAATCTATATAAGATAATATCAGTAATAGATGAGACGGCAAAACGGCAATGCCTCTATTTGAACCCTTTTAAGGGAAAATGTGATTGTGAAAATTATTGATTAAAGTAATTCAATATACATTTGCGCGCACGGTTCCCTTTCCGGTTAGGTTTTGGGGTAGGTTAGTAAGCCTCAATTTGCAGTTCGTGATTCGAGATTACACATTCATTACGACATTCCACCGTGTTTGGCACTATAGGTCGGCCGATTGGGATAGGATGCGGTCTATTTTGTATCATATCCTTGGGGACGAGTTTGCTTCTCGTCGGACGATCCCAGCATTATTGCTGATTCTGTCACCAATGTGGTACTTCAAGGTATAGAACTTTTATTCCGTCCTCTGTGGTGCCCATCGGAGGCAAATCCCAGCCTTGGTTTGGTCGCTCCTGCAAAATAACAAACATCACGCTGTAAGCAGAATGCTATCGGGCCTGGGTTGACGCATCAATGTCTTGGGATGTAAATACCAGCACTCTTAAGAAGAAGTATAATTCCGTCTCCCGGTCCTTCAAAGCCAAAGCAACCCATGCATTCTGGTCTCTTGACAAGGCTATCCAACGGAACTTCTCTCAGTCATCTCTTCCCTCTCTGACTTGACCCTCGATGACGGGGGCAACACACCGCCGAACATCCCGCGGTATGAGTGATCCATGCTGGATGTGCGGTTAACACAGCCCTTGGTTAGCAAAGCACTCCTCTCCCTGGCTTTTTGCACCTTTAGGCAGTAAATTTTCTTGGATTTTAACCAATTGGAAAGGTTGTTCCACTTGGTCTTATTTTGAACAATAATAGGTGGCAGCGGCTTTTCCCTACGTTTAGTGGTTGAGTGCTCTCCGCTGAGGTTGCTTGTTTGTCGAAGTGGCATTCGGGGACGAGGGGGATGAGTAAGTTTAACTTTTTGGGGTTTGCGCTTTTTGTGCTGGTCAAAGGTGAGCCTTCGTTTTCGGGCTTGGATTGGGTACGCGTTATCTATTTAGAAGCCTGTTTCGTCATCCAAAAGAGATATTTAATACTGTTCTCTTTGCCGATGACACGCCATTTTTTGTTGCTCATCATAACAAAAGAATTCGCACCAAGATGCTCCCAACATGCCGTCAACCGCCTAAACGATTGGTTCCGCTTATGGAAAATTGAATTGAATCATGGGAAAAGTGTAGCAGTTAATTTTAAAAAGAGCCTTCTTCTTAATTGTCGGAACCTGTATCTGAAAAAACCCTTAGAAAAGATTACACTTTTTGGCCAACAGATTTCATTGGAAACGACGGGCAAATACCTAGGACTTACATTCGACCACGGTATGACATTCGCAAAACACATTTAATATCAAATTTTTCACTTGTCACCTCCACCTGCTAATTAACAGCAGCAGCAAACAGCTTTTAAGACACAAGCTCCATCTATACAAAGTGTGCGTAAGGCTCGTCTTGTCTTCAAGCAAGAGTAGCTTTTGCACACGTGGCTCATTGTTATTTGAACAACCTCCAAGTCGTCCAAAATAGATTCTTTCGCTTAGTTACCGGAGTTCCATGGGGCCAGCAGAACTCCGACCTGCATAGCAATTGCTTGTTTCGCAAATATCGCTGAGCATTTGAAGGAAATGCCTTGGCGCTATTTTAAAATCGCTGGAACACATCTCAACCCGCTAGTGATAAATTCAGCTAACTGCGCTCCGGCTCCAAACGCTGAGGAAAATCTCCGAAGACCTCATAATTACTTAATTGAATCTCAGTTCCGCTAGATTCCAACGACACAAATGTCGCTGGCTCGTCACGCACCAACACTACACATTCACCTAGTGACACAAACACCGTTAGGACAACAGATGAAAGGAGTTAGTCGTTAAAACCAGGGCTTACCACCAATGTTCCGACGTTTATATAACTCAAATATGTCACGATATGTTCACGAGTACACAATATTATACATTTTAGTGAATAATCATAAATAATCTCCAACTTCTCCACTCTCCTAAAATAAATAATCTCCACCAACATTTTCAACCAAAAGGCTAACAGCAGTAACAGCACTAGTAACATCATCAGAATTCAGATATAAGCATTATGATTTCTTATATAAATTATGCAGTCAAACTCTAACCTTTGTTCGGTACACAACTTTCTTATAACTTATTGAACTCCGATCTGTGATTAAATTAAATTACTTTTGCAGCAGTAATAAGTGTCTTTTTTTTTAAAAGGACCCAAGGCAAGCCATCCTAAACTAAAAGAGCTTGACCTGCAACTAAAAGCAGTGCTGACTTAATAGGGTGCGGACGAGCAAGTTTGTATTTCCCGGTTTAATTTACCTATCAATTTCCAGTTCATATTAAAGTGCGTTACTTTCTTATCACTGCTTGCTTTGCAATTAGCTAATAAAGCGCAGGAACAGACGTTAAGCACTAAGGACTACGGTAGACCACACTTCTACTGCTTCTCACACGGCCAATTGCTATCGCCCTGTCAGTGATTACAGAAAGGCTTATTCTGTTTTTTTTTGTTTTTTTTTTGTTTTTTGATTAGGCATACTAAACTTCTTATCTAGTAGGAATACTTTCTTTTTGTACTTTTTCCTAATTTATAATCGGTATTTATTTTAATTTTGCGAGTACTTTATTGCTTATTATACGCCGTGCGAACGAGTTAGCGGGTACAGTTAGTGCAAAAATAAAATTTTATTACTCTTGTAACTTTCTTTTATTTAAAATAACTAAAAAATTATTAACTTTAACAATAACAAACATCATCATCATCATCATCATCACAGCCCTTCACAAGTCCACTGCTGAACATAGGCCTCCCCCAAGTAATGCCACAAAGCACGGTCCTGAGCCACCTGCATCCATCGACTTCCTGCATATCTTACCAGGTCGTCACTCCATCTAGTGGGGGGTCGTCCTACACTACGCCTACCGGTACGAGGCTGCCACTCGAGAACCTTTCTTCCCCATCGGTTATCGGTTCTTCGAGCTATATGGCCGGCCCATTGCCACTTCAGCTTACTAATCCGTTGGGCTATGTCGGTCACTCTGGTTTTACTGCGGATATCCTCATTTCTGAGTCTATCACGCAGAGAAACTCCGAGCATAGCCCTCTCCATAGCTCGCTGAGCGACCTTGAGCGTCCTCATACGGCCAGCAGTGAAGGACCACGTCTCAGATCCATAAGTCATCACTGGCAACACGCACTGGTTGTACAATCTAGTTTTTAGAGATTGAGGTATACTTGACGAGAAGATATGTCGTAATTTCCCGAACGCTGCCCAGCCGAGTTGAATCCGTCGATTGACCTCTCGGTCGAAGTTGGACTTACCTAGTCGGACTATTTGTCCCAGGTAAACGTACTCGTCAACAACTTCGAGCATAGTGCTCCCAACAACTACCGGCATAGGTGTGACATGGACATTAAACATGATCTTTGTTTTGTCCATGTTCATCTTAAGACCTATCCGTTGGGAGGCACTATTGAGGTCATTAAGCATAGTGCTTAAGTCCTCCAGCGATTCTGCCATAAGGACTATATCGTCGGCAAATCGAAGGTGAGTGATGTACACGCCATTGATGTTAATACCGTATCCTTTACGGTCCAGTAGCTTGAAAACGTCTTCCAATGCAGCGGTGAAGAGTTCGAAAACATCGTATTATTTATCTTTCCTTGTTCAACTTTCTTTATACTAACGTTGTTCCGGTTGAAAGATATAAATATTTTCAACAGAGAATATATTTGCTTTCATTTGGTTTATGTCATTAAATTAAATTTCACAATGATTAGTTTCTTTTACACAATTTTTTACTTGCCGACGTTGGCGGATTCATAGTCTAATAAATAAATAAATATTCATGTCCAAATCAACTCTAAATAAAAAACCAGCGGTTAAAAAACTGTGACACCTACGGCTGTATCCCCCTACAAGGCAATTTATGTTCCAATCTGTCCTGAAAAATGTTCAGCAGTCCACTTTTATAGGCTGTAGTGGATGGCTAATCCAAAAGCAAAGCTACTTTTCTACTATTTATACACTACATCAGTGTAGAAATAGTAGAAAAGTAGCTGTGTTCATATTATGAAAATTTTCTTATTTTAATTATTGAATAACTTTTAAATCCTCCCTATTTAAAACGTGCATTTTATATGCACGAAATAGCCTCTGGATGTTATGGCTGTCATATTTTTTTTCTTTACAGAAGACATAACCTATACATGTCGTAAGCAAATTTTTGTTGAATTTCCCACAGCGATCTGTTACGACATC